CGCCGCCTGTCGCGGCCCTGCCTTGCTGCCGCTCGTCGTGGCCCAACCCTGCTGCCGCCCCGTCGCGGCCCTGCCCATACGCCGCCTCGTCGCGGCCTTGCCCTGCATCCGCCCAGTCGCGGCCCTGCCCTTCAGCCGCCCAGTCGTGGACCTGCCCTTCAGCTGCCCCGTCGCGGCCCTGCCCCACAGCCGCCCCGTCGCGGCCCTGCCCTACAGCCGCCCCGTCGCGGCCCTGCCCTGCAGCCGCCCAGTCGCGGCCCTGCCCTACAGCCGCCCCGTCGCGGCCCTGCCCTGCTCCCCGTAAGCTGCAGCCGCCTCTTAGCGGCCCTGCACAGCTGCTGCCCTGTACCGGCCCTGCCCTACCCGCCGGTCACGGCCCTGCCCTGCACCCGCCCCTGGTAAGCGCCCGCCCTGCCAAGCACGCTGCTGCGCCTGCCTGCTTGCCGCGCCGCACCGCCTAGCCTAGCCGCGCCGCCATGCCAAGCCGCGCCGCCCTGCCGAGCCGCGCCGCCCTGCTGAGCCACGCCGCCCTGCCGTGCCGCGCCACCCTGCCAAGCCGTGCCGCCCTGCCGTGCCGTGCCGCCCTGCTCTGCTGCTACTGCCACCATGGCTAGTCCTACAGTGCTTACCTTCGATGCTGAGGGCCGTGCGGTCGATATTGACTTGCAGCTCTATCTTCAGTGCGACTCCAGGGACGGAGCCTCGCTACTCGATCACACGTCCGGCGCGTCTATTGCACCTGCTGCCGACGCTGACAGTACAGTGCGCTCGCAGTGGACTACTCGTGACGCTGTTGCTTGCCTTGTTGTTCGTAGTCACCTGCCGTTTGCTGAGCTCGTGCACTTTGGCCAGTACAAGACTCCTAAGTCTCTGTATGATGCTGTTGTCGCACGCTACTCCTCCCCTGCATCTGCTGCCCTCAGCCACCTCATGCTGCCGTACTTGTTCCCTGACCTAGCCGTGTTTGCCACAGTCGCCGACCTCATCACTCACCTCCGCACTAGTCACACCCGCTACAGCGCTGCGCTTCCCTCCGAGTTTCGCGCCAAGAACCCCCCCCCCCCATGTACATCACCCTCTTCTACCTAGTCACCCGTCTCCCTGACTCTCTCCGCTCAGTCAGGGACCACTTTCTCTCCCTTTGCCCCACTGAGCTCACCGTCGACCTGCTCGAGGAGCGCCTCCTTGCAGCTGAGACTAGCATAGTCGCTGTAGGAGCGTCTCGCGGCGACCCTCGCGCCCCTTTCTTTGAGGGGTGCTCCCCGTCCCCCTTTTGCCCTCTGTTGCTTCTGCTGCTGCTGTCGACCTCGTTGGCACCGAGGCGGTCGGGGCTGCGCCTTCTCCTAGTGGGAGGCGCCGCAGCGGCAAGGGCAGGGGGGGCAAGGGTGGAGAACGTGTGGATGCTAGACTGAGTGGCAAAAAAAAAAACAGTGGTTTTCGGAGTTGGCTGGAGGAATGGCTGAGTGTTGCGAAACTGCTTGACCCACTCTGCTGAGCTTGCTGAACCAACACGGCAAAGCATCAGGTCGCTTCGTTGGGTGACGCGGCTTGCATCTGTGCCACCGTCAGTATGAATGTGGTATGGGATTTAACTAAGTGCAGGCAGCATCAAATGTACGTGATGCCAACAGTCCTTTCCTTGGCGTGCAGGATATCGAAACATAAAAAACTGACCAATTACACCCATGACTGCTGCCAACGCATATTCTGCAGGGAAGGCCGCTTCGGTACTTGCGTGATTGACGGAAATCACGCTCCGACAAATTTCGGGAATGAAGGGGGGGGTGCCCTGTACGCCCTTAAGGGTAATCTTCGTTAAGGGAAGATTTACCCCAGAGCATCAGTGTGGCCTAAATCGTTTCACTGTCAAATCAGTGTAATACTAAGTTTCAAAAAAATTACCCAAACACATCAGTGTAGGCCCTAAATTTCACCCTTCTCAGTGTGATTTACACTGATAAAATAGGCCCTGGGGCCCACCATTACCAATCAACTCTGTGCGAACCTTCGGAGGTGATCCTAGGGGCGATCAACTTCTGATCGCAGCATGGTATGATAGAGACTCGGGAATCCTTCGCATTGCCACCTCCGAAATCTTCGACGAACGGAAAGTGGCGTCCGGCACACGCTCGCGTATGAGAATGGCCAGAGGATCTGGTGGTCAAACGAATCTGACGGTTGAAGCGCAGCCCAACCCAGCTGCGACAAGCGAGGAAACGACAACGATTGGAACCGTCGTCCTTGCACAATTGCTTCAACGACTCACTAGCTTGGAGCAAGGACTCCAAACATTGCGGAATGGCGACGCGGGAACTTTTTCCCAACCCTCTCAACTGGCCTCGAACGGCCACAATACCGCCCCGCACACCTTCTCCCTCGACACTAATGGCTCAACTCCCAAAACTCCTCGTCCCAGCAAAGATGCAATTCTCTCTGCGCAATCAAGGTTTTTGAGCATATAAAAAATAAAGACAAGTGTGTGCTTTGACGGCAGAGACTTCTATATGTGGAGCTTCCTGTTGGAGCTGCTGTTGCAAAACGCGCATATATTCCACTATTTCGACGGGAGCTTCTCGGGACCCGCTGAGGATACCGTAAGCCCCCGGATAGAAGCGCAGGCCTCGGATAAGCGCCGGCGCTTATAAAAGGATGACAGCGCTTATACCTGGTCCTCGATTATAAGCCCACCCCCTAAAAAAGGATGATTTATTATAAGCGCATGTTGTTTTTTCATTTGAAAATCTCCTGGATCTTCAGCGCGCCCTGCAGTTCTTCATCTCAACACCCAATGTCAGACTCTGTTACTCCACAGTCCCAGCCTCCTCCTTCAATCTCATCGGCTACGTGGACGCCGATCATGCTGCTGATCCCGACAATCGACGGTCCAGAACTGGGTTCTTGTTCCGCCTCGAGCCAACAGGACCTATCTCCTGGAATTCGCAGAAACAGGAGCTGATTGCCTTGTCGTCAGCGGAAGCTGAATTCATCGCCGCGAGGGCAGCCGTTCGCGAAGGGCTTTACCTGCAAGAGCTCCTACAGGAGGCAAAAATCCCATCTTCGCCCACCTTTCGACTGCACTGCGACAACCAGAGCGCAATCAAGATCGCGAACAAACTTGGGTTCGTCAACCGCACCAAACACGTTGCGCTGCGGTACTTCTTCGTCAAGGACGAAGTTGACAAGGGCAAGGTTGACCTAACCTATTGCCCGACGGGTGACATGGCAGCTGACTTCCTCACGAAGCGGCTGTCACGTCAGCAGTACCGCACTGCTCCGAACTTAGCGGAGTAGTCAAGCGGGTCAAGACCTGCTACGGCCAGGAGTGAAGGGGGGTGTTACGAATAGTGAAAGATGAAACGTTACTGTGCACTCCTGACAGTAGCAATCGAAGCATGCAGTATCGAGGCTGAAGACGAAAAGACAAAAGTGACGCGAAGGGTCGTACGGTTATGAAGCATCTGGACCGCTAGGGCAGACAGCATCAGGCAGCAGTAGTGGCGAGGATTCTGCCCAGGCAGTTCGTAACCGTCTGGAGTCGCACGGTTGAGTTTCGCTGCAATAAGGGAATGTACCCCTTAGAGTACATGGCTAGCTAGGTCGTTTCGTATTCCACGCTGTACTCTTATTTATACCTTTGTATTTGCATGTTTTAATCATCTCAAGCATTTTACATTCACTCTGCTTTGAGGTCAAGGGCCCACCACTACCAATCAACTCTGTGTCAACCTTCCGAGGTGATCCTAGGGGCAATCAACTTCTGATCGCAGCAGTGGTTATCTCCATCCATTGCCCAAAATATTACAACAAGCGTTAAAGCCGGCCGAGTCACTGCACCCCCTGGATAACACCTTTAGCCTTCCACTGGTCTGAAGGGCAACAGATGATTCTAGTACCTGTGGATGCTACCCAATCCCACTATCCACTAAGGTACCATGCCATGCCAGTCACATCGCAGATCTGTGTGCGGCCATTACTGCACGGTGCACCCAAAGTCGACTTGATTAATCCCCTGTATGCCCTGATTCTTGTGCAGCAGAACGGAAGCTTTTAACTGAACCTTTCATGCACACAACACGGTATGTTGAACCATTGCTGTAAATACTACCGTAAATGGGGGATTCTGTACAACTGATTTCCTTCTAATTTGTGGCAGGGATATGATGGTCCTACACGAATCTGATGTATTTTCATGTGAAACCATGTGATTTCAGCTCTTTTATGGCGAATTATCTCCATTGCTCAAAATACTACTGATATAAACAACAACACTCAACAGGAGTTGCACACTTCTCAATTCAACTGGGTGGTGGTGGTGGTGGTGGTGGTGGTGATGCTGCTGGTGGTGGTGGTATGCCATAGTCCAATAGCGTCAATGCTGGCTGTGTCACCTTCACTCCCTGCCTATGTAACACCTGAAGCCTTCCATTCAGTAGATGCTACACATTCCCATCCCACTACCCACGAGGGTACCATGCCATGCCAGTCACAAATCTGTGTGGGGCCATTAGTGCACGGTGCACCCAAAGTCGACCTTGATTAACCCCCTGTTGAACGAGGAAAGAAACAGAAGAAAAGGGGATGAGAATTGGGGCTGAGGGAGGGGCGGAGGGGAGGAAATGAAGAGGGAGGATGGATGTGGGGGAGAAGGCGGGTGGTAATGGGTAAGGAGGGGCAATGAAACCATAGCCGGAAGAAAAAATGCACATGCTACAGGTCGAATACGTGAATAGCATTTGCGAGGCTTGTTACTAGTGTGAGGCATTACTTTTGGGTGTGGGTGACAAACTTCGGGCTGCTCGAGAAGGTCCATATCATGTTGTTGACGCCCGTATAGTCAACAGGTGCCATCTGACCGGGAGTCTTGCCTTTGCGAGTGAACCGGAAATGCACCAATAATCCGCACAGAGTGTATGTATACAAGCAGTAATGACAACACAAGGCACATGGCACATGGCGCATGGCACATGGTTAATGCTTGTCGCACAGCAAATTCGACGAGCTTACTTGACAATCGTGCCACCGTCAGCAGTCGTGCCTGTAGATGGTTTCGTGAGCATCACGGCCTTGGTCTGTTTGATCACCTTCAAAGCATTGCCCATCATTGAGTATGCCACCACGTCCTTTGCAATGGCTGCACCGAACACATGATTCCCCACCACAACATCCGACGGAAACGCCTTGCCAGCTGTCTTGGTCCAGCCAATGGACATCCAGCTCGCCTCGGCGCCACTGCCCTTCTTCGCCTCAATTGCTGCAATGAATCTATCATTCGCCTTGGTGATGTTCCAGTGCAGGAGGAACTTGCTGGCGGGAAGGGAGCATGGGAACACGACAGGTGTAAGAAAGCTGTTAAACGGGAGTGTAATCAGACTTGCCCAGCCACGGCACCGACAAGTCTTGATATGACAAATCTCGAGTTTTGAGTTAAAATTTATCGTGCTAGTAAGAGAATTCAGGCTCATACCCGCCGTCTCTGAGCTTGACAGCCTTGGTGTATGACTTGAGGTCCAACTTCATGCACGAGGGGCTGGCCTGCGGTGACCGCCGGCGCCGCAGCCCAGCCGGCTGGCCGGCTCCATGCACGAGGGTGCTCGCATGATCCGCGGCATCGCGCTGGCGTCGCCGCCCGGCCAGGGTGCTCCCATGATCAGCGGCGTCACGCCAATGCCGCCGCCCCGCCAGGGTGCTCCCATCAGCAGCACCACGCCGCCGAATGTCGCGTCGCGCGAATGCGCTGCTGGCCACGACGAGGAACAAAAGCGCTGCGAGCGACACTGCTAGGAGGGAGAAGCGGTGCCGCGAGGAGGCCATGATGGTCTAAGATGAGACGGATGCGAAGGCGAGAAGAGGATGTTGGTGGGTGTGTGTCAGAGCGGCTTCCCCTGAGAGGCGGTCGAGGAGAACTCAAGAGTGTGATTTAAGATCAGCAAGTACTGTCGTTTTATAGGTGACATCCAACTACGCCCACGGCAGGTGATTTGGGATAAGGAGGACTCCATGACACATGGCAGTCCACCACCTCGTTTCTACTAAGGCAAAAAGACGGCAGATTCGCTCTCAGTGAGTGACCAATCCAAATTGGGAGTTTGATACGAAAACGGCAATAGGACGACACGTTAGCGCCAAGGATCTAAATATAAAAATTGGTTGGTTCATACGGCTTGAAGCGAATGGTACGTATGTAGCAGGAATTTGCACAGGCAATGGGACGGGCGGTGAGCGTGCCACGTGGCATGGGTGTGTGAGAGCGGCGTGTGAGAGGCGGTCGGGGAAAACTTCTCGACGGTTGGTGGGCCATTGGTTGATCTGATTTGCGAGTGAAAGGTTCCATAGTAGCAGAGTCCAGGGCCTGAAAAAAAAAAAGGACGGCAGCTTTCGCCTCGCAGTGAGTGAACGAGTGAAAACTAAGTCATGCAACTCTACTGGTCAGCGCCAAGGGTCAGTCTAGGCGGGGTCAATGGGACTCTGATTATGTTGAAGTGGAGTTCCAAGAGCGTTTGCCCCACGATCCGAGGCCTTGCATCCCTGTGATCCGGATCCCGAAGGGCATGGGCGCAAGGCTCCGCCGCATACGACAAGGCAAACCGTGCACAGCTCCACGCCCACCTGACCGTGAAGACTGAGTTCCAACCAACCTGCCCGTGACCCCCTTTGCGAATGATGGTGGTCGGGAAGTGTTAGAGACTAAGGACGGAGTCTATGAAGATTAGGGGCTGAAATATCTCAAAATCGTCAACTACAATTCTGGACAGAAAAGTCGTCGTCAACGATTAACGCACAGTTATAATTCTCTCAAACTCGAGTATGTTGTAGCCCTTCACTGTGGCTATCTTTCTCAATTTGAATAGTATCAAAATATGGAGTATAACTCGAGTTATGAACTTCGGCGCACTAGGGGGTATGCTGCCATAGAAAACGTAACTCAATCACAATTATCTCACAAGTTCACACAAGAAAGTTAGAGTAGCAATAGAACCAGGTAGGAGGGGATGAGGAGGACGAGAGGGAAGGTCCCAAGGGAGTCCCCAACCAAGGAAACCCCATTCCACACAATTCCCCTCTCTATAGGCACCCCAACTTTGACATTTGTCACTTTCCCAACTCATGCCATCCACCTCACCCAACTTGGCCACACTTGCCAACCTGGTTTGGCTTCTCCCAACCACTTGGCATCATCTACAGTGATGGTGACGAATTTCCCAACCCCCAAAAGTCTGTACCCCATATTGAGTCAACCCGCAAATTCCCATAGTCGCCGCATCTCAATCAAAACTTCGAACGATCATATCTTTCTCGTTCTTGCTTCGATCGCAGCGATTCTCGGTTCGTCGGGAAGCTCTTGAGCAGAGGAGTCAATTCAGATATCTGCTCAAGACAAATAACATTCACACACACTCAGAAAATCTAAACAACACCAAACACAAATTCTTGCACACGCTCACACCACGCATGCAACACACGAACATATGATGGGAGGCAGACAGACGTGAATGCAAATGATAGCATCACATAACAGGAAGGACAATTTTGCCATCGTAACTCTTTGGCCAACAGATGACGGTCGCCGGTCGCAAGGCCGGTTGCAACAACCTGGCCGTCTCTACATCGTTTAGGGCTTTAACTTGATTGATTGTGTTATTGTCATCTTAAAGCCGATGTTGTTGTGTTCTTCTATACCATTGCTCTTTGTGTTTTATAGTCGTTTCTTACCAAGTGTAGTTGATCTGCACACGTGGCCATGGCAACCGTTCTTGTCAGTAATCCACGACTGCAGGAGCCAATAATCGACGAATAGCAAACTATCTCGCGGTGGTTTTTTGGCGGGTGAATCATCCAACCCAGGGTTGGATGACCAGATCTGCACAAGGGCTTGTGTGTGGTGGATGGGTATGAATGGTTGTTTTCGTGCTCATTTGCTCCTTTTCATTTGCATTTCATGGTCCGCAAGCTCTTTGAGATCTTTTCATCCAGTACCTGTTACGCACCCGCGTAGTCTTGTAAGCCTGCTGGACCCACCGGCAGAACACATGCGTCCTCGACGTAGTGACGTAGTGTCGTATAGATTGCGTTTTTTTTTTTTTTTTTTTTTTTTTTGGGTCAGCCCGGTTTAGGATCTCTTCAGTCGCGCATATTCGGTCGCTTGTGTAGGCGCATATGTATGTGGTAGAGCATATGATCGGTAGAACTGTAGGTTTTCGACCTATACATTTGTCGTATGTCGCCCGCTTCTGTAGCCGCAGAGCTTAGTCGTGGAGATTTTTCTCGGAAGAAGTATTCGCTCTCGATCCATACTATCGTCGAACTTAGGACGTTCATGTACAAGCATAAGGTTGTCGTAGAGAACTCGCTCGGTAGAATATTTGGAACTTGTTTCCGGTGATTCGTTGTAGGGAATTATAGCGGTAGAACAAAGGGGTGCCGAGCTCTACAGTCCGTGACATTCAGCCGGTTCTCTATATGCAAGTTGTAGGCGCAGATAGATCTAGAGGTTGAAGTGTCGGCATTCGTTGACCAATATTTCTTCGTCTGAAGCACAGACGCTCTTAAGGCTTCTGCGCTTAGCCCACTATGCATTCTGCCTAATTTCTCTGCATACCTGCGAATCCTTTCCACCTACTGTTTCTGACACCTCCCAATTCTTTCGTCTAGTCCCAGTGTTTTGCATATAAAATAGGCATCTGCTAATGGCCGACGCAATGGTCCAGCCTCGCCCAATGTCTGCCCAGGACGCACAGGATGAAGAAGAATACCTGGAGGACGAAGAAAATACCGTAGATGACTACGCACAGGATCGCGAGAACGATCTCGAGTTTGACACGACCGAGGAGGATTTGTTTCAAGGTGGTCCCTACGCACCGACCATCCTAATTGAGGAAGTCAAGGGGGGTGAAGGGCCGAGAGGCAATGAAGTGCGCCGACGACCCGGTGAGCCCGTAGAAGTGTACGAGGATAAAGATCACTCTAACATGGAAGAGGGGGGAGAACCATTGCGGCGAGGACAACCAATAAATTCTGTGAGCCATGTCGAGCAGTGTGCGGCGGCAGGAAATGGGCAACGGCAGGAAGACGTTGCAGAAAATACGAGCAGGATCGGGCGTTCAACAATCCCGCTTCGACTGATAGAGGCCAACACGAGGAGGCACTATTGTTTCCACTTTCTCCACTTCAAGTGGTGGGTGATAATCTTCATGGCAACGATGGCAGAGAAGGGTGCCCCTGTGGTCGATAGGCTGGCTCCCTCTCTGCACGACGAGGTTGGGTTTCGTATGAACAATAACTTGGGAAACGATGGGTGGGCGAGCAGCTCTGACGAGTGGCAGATTCATCTGCATGGGCCGCGAGTCATGAATTGGAGGATCAACCGATACATCGAGTTCCTCTTCCGCGAAACAGACGAGCAGGCAAAGATATTGCGTGATAAAATACGGCCAGGCGTTCAGATTTACGCGGGGAAGGAGGCAAAGGGGAGCACGACTTCCATGATCAAGACAAAGATGAACGCGGTGGGATGCCTCGCTAGATGCGAGGCGAGGCTCTACGGCTTCTCCATCACAATGACCAAGGACTGGATCAAGGAGGCTCGGGATTTTCTCAAAGTGAAGTTGAAGGAGCTGAATGACGAGCAAGTCGCGTGAGTTTTTTCGAGGTGTGCTTTCTGCTCCTGCTTGTGTACATGTTTCTCTACATTGTTATATAATTACTCTTGTCTTTTATGCAGAGATGGCCGTGATCAAACCCACGGATCAATCTCCGACTGGTAGCGGCAAGCTAGTATAGGACGCTACATCACACTGTTCTACAAGTAGAACTCCAACAAATCTGGTGGCTTTCGCCTCCGGCACATCTCTCACTTCCTCTCTGGAAGGCTCTGCAAGTGCCGGTTATGATTCAGCTCGGACACCAATTTCTAGGAAGGGGGTGCAGCATTCGAAAGATTCGCCTTGCAAACCTCTTTGTCCGCATGACACGGAGCACCTCACACCTCGACGACTATCTGGACGTCTTGGTACTCGTCGTCGTTTCCAGGAAATCGAAGACCAACATCGGCAACAAGCTGAGTCAACAGTTTCTTGCAAGGCATAGGGACTGGCGGCTCTGCGGAATGGGCCATGTTTTCCTGTGGCTTCATTTCATCTACGACCTCGTCCCTCTGCGCTACGGCCCCGGTATCGTCGAGCCTCTTGACTTTTCTGAACCGCTCAAGTGGAGTAAAGCGCACCTCTTCATTTCCTTGAAGACAAGGGACAAGGGAAAGCAGAAGCAAGATGAGATGCACTAAAAAACGCACTACACCTGGATTCACTGGGCCATGCAAAAGGCGAAATGGATTCTGAGCAAGGTGACACAAGCGTTCCGCAGATCTGGAGCCCAACAACTCCATGACGACGGTTGCTCCGACAACGACATTGGCAGTCTGGGCGGATGGCAGCAGGGGGAGATGCGGAGGTCTTATGTGATGGGCATTCCATTCAAGCCGGTTTTTCTGCAGGCAGGATTCAGCTGGGATCGTGGAGACTACTACATCGGCAGAGCCCGCGCTAAGCTTCCGCGTCATGAGGATAAAGATAAGGATGAGTGGTGGCAGCTGCTGGGGCTCATGAGGAAACACATCTTCCCCAGGGTCGAGGAGGATTTGAAGAAGGTACGTGCCAGTATAGAGTATGCGCGTTCGTATATGAACATTTCTACACAATTATGAATCGTCACAATTCCCCTGCATACTCGTCTCCTCATGTCCATGCATGGAACGCCGCGCAGACCGACGCGCTGAAGAGGCACAATGCGGGGGTGAGGCTCCTCGAGACCCTCGG